AGAATGTTGAAATAAGTAGCAATAGCAATGAAAGAGGATTAATTAGGGCCAAGTAATGGTTGAAATAAATTAATAGGGAAGAAAGTTTCCTCCCCCCCCCCGAGATATTTAATTAAGCTGAAACAACTAGTAAGGTATTGTACTATGCTCCTGTATGTAGTGAAAACTTGGAAAAACAAAGTATTGTCTTTTTGGGAAAGAATCAATTTATATGAAGGGTGAAATGTCATTGTTGATTTATAATTAACCAAAAAAAATGCTTCTTGCCTTTTGTCTTCTGAGATATAGTAATAATAAGTAAGATAAGGTAATATAGCTTTAAAAGTTTTGAAAACTTGAATAAAAATGGATAGAAAGAATTTGAATAGGAAGTGTAGATTAAAATTAAAAAGGTGATAGAAAAGGATTTTTATTTATGATGGGTTCTAAGTTATTTATAAGTTTTCATTTTTCCATATTATATAAAGAATGATATACCGTATTTTTCGGACCATAAGACGCACTTCCCCCCCCAAAAAAAAAAGTGGGGGGGGAAGTGACCCCAAGCCCACGGAGCCCATGGGAAGGCTTGAACTTACATTTTAAACAGCACGTTCTCAGGTCCATTAAGCACATAAAAAACGAAAGTAAACCAAGCTCCAAGAGGACCCAACCAAATCACACAGAAATTAAGGGAAGAGCAGACTGTTCCATTGGGAGGGGGGGGGAAGAAGGCTGAACAGCCCCGTTCAGCCTTCTCCCCCCCTCCCAATGGAACAGTCTGCTCTTCCCTTATTTTCTGTGTGATTTGGTTGGGTCCTCTTGGAGCTTGGTTTACTTTCGTTTTTTATGTGCTTAATGGACCTGAGAACGTGTCGTTTAAAATGTAAGTTCAAGCTCCTTTTTAACAGATGGGTGTGTGGGGGGGTGCTGAGGATCTGTGGCTCTCTGCCTTGTCTCCGGAGATTTGTTTGCTGCTCTTTGAACAGCCTAAAAGCAAACTTCTCTATCTTTTGAGTGCATTGAATGACTTGTGCCTTCTTCCTGGAAAGCTGCGAATTTCTCTCCTTTGGAACTAGGGGCAGGAAATCACTGTTTGCTTGTGGGTCTAGATGTTGGGATTCATGCTACCTCTTTTGCCCCAGGGGTTCATAGGAAGCAGCTGGTCTATTCTGAAGCACAGTGCTGGGGGGGTCTGGGCTTCTCTCTAACACAGCCCTTGAAACATTTGGAAGCTTTGATGGGAGACTCTGATTTTTTTCCTTGTAGGCCCCAGGGTTCAGAATATTTTTTTCCCTGTTTTCCTCCTCTAAAAACTAGGTGCGTCTTATGGTCAGGTGCGTCTTATGGTCCGAAAAATACGGTAGTTGTTATGGAAGTATAATGAAAATTAAGAAGGGGTTGGAAATGTTTATTTTGGTAGATGTAACTTATTTTGGGAAAAGTGAGTATAGAATCTTGGTTATAAGGAAATATTGATAAATGAATTGGAAAATAAAGATGCAGGAAACTTATGGATGCAGGAAATGAAGAGTAATGAAAAGGGATAAATATGTATAGTTATCGTATGAATAGTGGTGAGAACTTAACCTAAAAACAATAATGTCTGTTGTGAAATGATAAAATTATTTTGAAAATAAGTGTGTAGCTAAATCTTAAAAGGTGTTGTAGGAATACGTGTTTAGCTGGGAAACGATTTAATTCTATCTTCAAGAAGCAAGTTGTGTTGCTGTAAGTAGAAAAACAGCGGTAGTCTATGCATACATTTGTTTAGTTTTTGTGTTCATGTTTTTGTGTTAATGTGGTGTGTGTTTACCATTTGTAAAACTCAATAAATATATATAAAAAGAAACTGAGAGTGTCTTGACAGCCCTGATCTGGGCATGTCCCCTGCAGACCCCCGCTCCCAATCACTTAAGGGAATCCCCAAAGATGGGAGTAATTGGTATGCAGGCCGTATTTCCCCTGAAAAAGATCTGGCCCCAGGCTGAAACCATCAAAACAGTTATGACAATTAAAGCAATATAAACAAACAGCAACTGGATGTTTGGCTAGGTGAAGCCATGATGCCAAGTAGCTGAGCGGCATGATAGGGACTTTAATAACCGTGGCAGGTGGCTCTGAGGGAAAAGGTCTGCCAGCTGTGCCTGATTGGCCAGGCCAGGGGGGACTGTGTCACCTCCTGTCCCACCCCAATGGGCCCACAAATGGGTGCCCAGGTGAGTCTGGGTCAGTGCTTATAAAGAACAAGAAAAAAAGGCACAACATTTCTGGGGCTGATGTCCACCAGGTTAGTTCATCAAGGCCGAGCTCTTGCCCTGTTTAGTTCTCTCCCTGACCCAGCCACACCCAGACTTTAAATAACTTTAAATATAGGAAAGAGAGAAACAGTCTGGATCTTACAAGGTTGTGGCCAACTTTGCACAGCCCCACCCCACACTTGTTGTTATATACCCAGCAGTAGAAAATGTTAACAAAATATGACTTTCTGCCTATAGTTCTGCTTGAGGAGGTACAGAGTTTTTATCCAGAAGTGCAATAGAAGCAGACACACAGAGACATCCCCAGTAAGATGTTGTTTGTGAGGTTGTGTTAACTATTAGACAGAAATAAAACTAAAGGCATTGATGTTTATTGTGTTGATGTAGTTCACAAGGAGAACAAGAGTGTGATTTTTATTAACAATTTTAATTAACTTTTAATTGATTTCCATGAAGATAAATGGTTTCATTATACTGCCGCACACTGAACACCAGAATTGGATATTAAACATCTTCAGAAACTTCCTGACAATGCTGCTGATAACTAGAGACTTTACTGTTATGGTATCTTGTGGGATCTCTTATAGGCTCTTTTATAAATGTGCACAAATGAAGCTGTCTTACCCAAGAGTGCCCTTCATTTCACTTACATGACCTAAATTCATGAGGCCTTCATTTAATTAATGTGAGGAAAAGAGTCCAAATTAAACAATACCAGTCTAGTAGGTGATATTCCGTGGCCTCTTTTCTTGGCTTCAGGGAAATAGGCAACATGCCTTACTAAGTGGAGCTTCCAGATGTGCCTTCAAAGAAGTGATTAAAAATCAGACATAGAAAAGTGTCTGTGTGTATTTGAGTGTCTATTAATTGTTAACTGTAAGAAGTATGTACGATTAATAAGAACACTGTTAAACATAGAAGATATTTTTACCTACTATAAGAAACACATTCCATCTTGCCCTTTGGCTGACAGCCAGCTCGGTGACCAAGGCTTAGCATGTCTTTGTTTTGTTTGGTGTAGTAGTTAACTGTGCGGACTCTCATCTGGGAGAACCGGGTTTGATTCCCCACTCCTCCACTTGCAGCTGCTGGATGACCTTGGGTAAGCCATAGTTCTGTCAGAGGTATTCTTGAAAAAGCAGTTTCTATCAGAGCTCTCTCAGCCCCACCTACCTCACCGGGTGTCTGTTGTGGGGAGGGGAAGGGAAAGGAGTTTGTAAGTTGCTCTGACTCCGAGTGAAGGGCTGGGTATCAATCCAATCTCATCATCTTCCTCCTCCTCCTCCTCCTCCTCCTCCTCCTCCTCCTCCTTGTATGTTTAAACTATATTGTTCAATCTGGTTTGTTTGGGGCATTTCTGTAAATTGCTTTGGGCCCCTTTAAGGAAAAAAGCAGCTTAAAAGTTCCCAAATTCTGCTCTTAAATTACCCCTTTAAATATCCTCCCATACTGAGGCATTGTAGTTAGATAGCCTTTTTGAAAGATCACTTAAGTATGATGATGCTTTTGAAAAACCATCTGGAGCCCAGGGAGTATCTTGAATGACTGAGCAAGGTGGGTTTAGTTGGTTAAGCTTAGAATACTAGTGTTGGCAACATCTGCCACTAGCTTTAAATACAGAAATGACAAAAGTTTCGTGTTTAAAGCCTACTTTTAAATTGAAGCTGGCCCCTAATAAATTAAATAGCCTGTTTCCTTGAAAAATACCTATGTGGATCTAATCTATGCTTCAAGAAGGGTAGTGCAACCAGTGGTCCCACCATGGCTACAGCCTTGCTTGTGTACCATGCAGTTAGGGCTCCTGTTGTGTCCATAGGTAAGGGCTCATGGAGTGGTGTTGACAGTGGGTCGGGAGGATATGCTAGTAAGTGACTGAAGGAACAGAAACAAAGAGCTTGCCAGGAGGTAAAGCAGAAGAAAAGGATATGCAATCTTCTGAGAAGTTTCTCCTTCAAAATCTACAGCTAGTTCTAGAGTGTCAGGAGAGAGCATGGACTTCAGGAAGTAGCTAGCATGGACCACTGCACCAGCAGTTACTGGCTTATGACTGAAGTACTGTCCGTGCAGGTGGAACTGCTACCCTCACCTTCAGTCCCTAATGTACATTGATCTGGATTCTACCTAAACTTATCATTGCTGCTTCACTTTTAACCTCTTAGGCATTAGTGTCCAAGGAACCAATCCTTTTTTTTTTATTTTGTCCCCCCATAGGGGATTTTTTATTGCATTTTTCTATGAACTACAATGAAAAAAGGGGAAGGGAAACTATATCTATGGGAGAAAGGAAAGAAAACCACTAAAAACCCACGTATATGAGATCATTACAAAAGCTTGTATCAGTGTTAGTCTAAAATGCTAAGATTACATTGAACATGGTCAATTAAGCTATATTATTTATCTTTAAAACCATTTTTTAACTGTTTAAAGAAAATCACAAGAGCATTGTTAAAAAACTTCAAGGCACAGATCAGAGTTCTTCTGCCTTTATTTTGTTTTATCTTTTCTAATCCTCAATTGATATTCTCATTTGGGGGCTGTCGCTCCCTAAGGGAACAATCCTAAAATGGTCTAATCATAAGTCTCATGTTATTCAATAGGGCTTTTCTCCAGGAAAGTATATGTAGGATTGCAGCCCAAGCTGCTTAAGTAGGCATTTCTTTGCTAGGTTGCATCTGCCCAGGAATTTGAGTGGCATCTGAGGATGATCCCTGAGTCCTGGAGGCTTTTTTCTATTACTGTATTTTTTTTCTTCCCTTTTAGGCTACTGACCCTGATGCCGGGATCAATGGTCAAGTACGCTATAGTTTGGCAAACTTCAACAACCTTTTTCGCATCACATCTAATGGCAGTATTTATACATCGGTGAAGCTAAACAGAGAGAAAAGGGACTATTACGAACTCATTGTTGAAGCAACAGATGGAGCTGTAGATGCCCGTCGTACAACATTAACTCTAGGAATCAAAGTCCTGGATATAGATGACAACAGCCCAGTGTTCACTAATGCCTCCTATACAGTGTCTATTCCTGAAAACCTGGCCCTGGGCACAGTCTTCCTTCGTTTAGAGGTAAGAGAGGTAGACTCTTTCATAAACCTTTAGTGCTAAAAGATCCTTCCAGTTGACAATCAATTAAAACAAAAATTACCATTACTTATTCTGGAAGAATACATTAAAACTCCTGGATGTGCATTCCTAAAAGTTATATTAGTTGTAGCCTATATAAAGCAGAAATAAATTTGGGCAGTGTTCATAATAATTAAAAAAGGTTCATCAATATTTGAAAATTGATTAATACTAAAAAATCTTGCGCCACCACTACAGTTTTTTACATTGCATTTTAAAATTAATTTGCTAAATTATTATTCCTTGTTAATCTTAACATCTGTTTGAACCTAATGAAATCCACCTTCTTTCTTACAATATTCATACAGTGGTTTGCAGTACAATCCTAAGCAGAGATACACCCTTCTACGACTATTAACTTCTGTGGACTTAGAAGGGTTAGGTTTGCACTGTTAGTGTGTTACGAAGTCTCCTTACAGAGAAATCCTAAGCAGGTCTGTGCCCAGTACTCAAGGCCCCGGCCAGACGTGCCGGAAAACACGGGGGGGGGGGGAAGCGGGGCTATTTGTGCTGTGGCATTCTGATGCACTATTACGCGCTATTATGCGATCAGACACGCCGGCGGCTTCCCCACAGCAAAGATGACGATGGGGGAGGAAGCCGTGCGACGGTGCGATCACACTGGGAGGCTTCCATAGACGGCCCGTGGCAAAGCGTTTGCTAGTACATGCGGTGTGCTAGTTTTTTTACTGCACGGCTTCGGCGGCTTGCCATGGGTTCACCACGGGAGTGCTACGCCTCCCAGATGTACCTGTGGGATCGTGCCCCGATACTCCGCAGGACTCCCATGCCTTCAGCGGGGCAAATGCTCCATGTGACCAGGGCCCAAGTCACTTTGATAGTGCTTACTCCCAGGAAAGTTTGCCTTCCTACCTCCCCAGGCAGGAGCAAAGCATACTTTCTCTGAGCTCTGTGCCATCAGTCCCATCCTATCCATAAAGACTTATGAGTCCTGAGACCATTTTATTTATGGAATGCCATAAATAAGCCACATACTAGTAATGACCTTGCTGCCTGAACCTTCTGGACCTCAAGCCCTGATATAGTGTATCATTCCCCCCCATGCATGGACCGTGTCCTCATATAGGAGATATTTAAGAATTGGGTCCCTGGGTCAAGAGAGATGACTGGGCGGGATGGTAAGTAGGTGAACAAGAAGCCTGTTAGCTTAGTACGTACCCAGAAGGATGGAGGAAGAAAGGCTGTAGTGGCCCTAGTGATACTCTTCATGTACTTGGTGCTGTCTTTGTGTAAGGCTGATTGTTTCCACACTTTGCCGCTCATTGAAGGGAATAGAGTGTATTAGTGTTATGTTTCATAGCTCATGACCATCTTGTTAACCTCCAGTTTGAAAAATATTATTCCGATAAGTAAGAAAAATAATAATTTGGAGTATGCAATATTTTTGCCTTATAAAATGCATAAGCCAGCCTCTGTTCTTAATTACTTCTAGGCTAAAGATGTTGACCTTGGGTCAAATATTACTTATGGAATAAGAACCCAAGAAGCACGAAAGTTTTTTTCCTTGAACAAGTTTACTGGGGAACTCTCACTTTTAAAGCCCTTGGATTTTGAATCATTTGCTGACACAGATGCAACTTTCACATTTTTAGTGGAGGCCTTTGATATCGGTGGAACAATGCCTCCAGGTCTTGCTACAGTGACAGTGAGAATACGGGTAAGAGTCGTTATTTTTCCTCAGCTTCTGCATTAATCTGCTACGTAATGCCATAAAAAAGAGGTCCAAGTGTGTTTTAGAAAAGACAGAGAATCCCATGAGAATTGTTGTTATTTCCCCATTTTTCAACCTTTCGTTCATTCTGTATTTGCATAAATTTGCAGACTTCTTATTTTGAATGTACAGTGCTAGCAAATATAATTGCTTTGCAAATGTACATAATTACACAGTTATGTCTTGGCACGTAGATTTGCGTGTAACAAAATTAGATTGGTGAATCTTTTAAAATCCTTTGAAATAAATGCTCAACTGAATTGTTTGCCGAAGTGGCAGCATCTGTATTTCAGTTTAAGTTTACATAAACCCATTGTTTTTCAGCCTCACTTTTGAATCAACTGTTTGTGCACATTACAATGGAATTTCAATTTTTGCTTTTTTGAAGCTTTAGCTTCATCAAAGAAATGCTTTTGCTGTATAGATGTTATTGCATATGTCGTTTATTGTGCAATGTACTTGCATTATTCTGTATGCCTTCAAGGGCCATGGCCATTTTGAACAGTGGATACCTCTTGCTTTACAAGTATAGGCTACAAAGTGAAGTGTGATGTGACAATTGAGTTTGGAAAAGCACGTCTCATGTAGATGTGCTGTGTGAGTGGAGCTGTAAGTGGCTGCAACTTATTATTGAATGATCATTTGGTGATCAAAGTTTACCTCTACATAATGGGATCTGAAAATGGCTTTCTCCAAGCCAGTGTTTTCTATCCTACTTTCTTAGGGTGTCAGATTAAGACTTTATGGAGTCTTGATCGGCTGGTGTACCTTTTAAATATTAAAAGGAAGTGGCAGCAACAGAATATTACATGATTTGCCTTCCTTCTTTTGATAAGTTACTTCAGGCCCCTTGTCAAGAAATACCTTTTTTAAAGCCATGTTTCTCCTGTTTCCCAAACCTGTACCTCTGAAGCCATCTTCTGCTCACACAGCATTGTTTTCATTTTTGGTTAGAAAATACCTGTTTGCCTGACCACATTTCATTTTTTTTTAAAGAATCCCCTACATTTCTAATGTGTGGAATTGCTCTCAAACATACTCCTAGTGCCAGGCTTAAAGAGACAAGCCAACACAAAACAGGCTTAATAATTTTATTATATTTACTCTTTTTAACAACTTGCTTAAGGATTTGACTGAACTTTTTTCCTTTGGCAAATGTGCATATTCCTCTGTAAAAATCTTTACCCATGTAAATTTAGTCCATCTGTATTAAATAAAAGCTGTACCCTGCCCTCCCTGCATAGGCCCTGTCCTGAGGATGGATTAATTTAAGAATTGGATGCCTGAGGAGAAGAGAGGTGACTGGGTGGGTTAGTAGATCTGTAAGCAAGAAGCATGACTACTGGTGATGATGTTGCTCAGTTGAGCTTTTCATTCATGTTGCTTGGTTACTGTTTTTATTAGTTTTACTATACTTTATCATTTTTTTGTGAGCCACCTCAACAACCTGGCTGACTTCCTCCCCAAATCCATAAATAACGTTTCAGGAAGGTGGCCAATGCAAAACAAGTTCATTCAGAAATGATCAATATTTACCTTTTTTAAAAAAACAATAATAAATATCAGGATGAATCTTAACCAATATGCATTGTTTTCTTTTATATAAATTGCACAGATTTTTAGTGTTAAAACCATTATTTTTAAAAGGTAGTGTTAGAATCACCCTTACCTGGATAGCCCAATCTTGTCAGAACTCTGATTTTAGCGAAATTAGGTTTTTTTCTTCTATAGATTTTTAGTGTTAAAACCATTTTTTTTAAAGGTAGTGTTAGAGTCACACTTACCTGGATAGCCCAATCTTGTCAGAACTTGAAAACTAAGCAGGGTCAGCTCTGGTTACTGTTTGAATGGGAGACCACCAGGGAAGTCCAGGGTCACAGTACAGAGGCAAGCAATGGCAAACCGCTGCTGTTAGTCTCTTGCCTCGGAAACCCCACAGGGTGGGTCACCATAAGTAATCTGAGAATTGATGGCAAAAAAAAAAAGTTAGAACCAAAGAACGAAGACAAAAGGTTTGATCCTGTGGATTCATTCTACCAGCAGTGGTGCTTTCCTTTAATCTAAGGAGCCTTCCCCAACACAAGAGAATCTTTGCTACTAAAGAGCTTCCTGTATTAGGGAAAAACTCCTTGTGACAGAGGAAATTCCCGCTGCTGACAGAATAGATCAGTGAGATCCAACCCAAAGTCTTCTCAATTTTTAACATTTTTTTTAAATAGGGTTGTTTGTTGGGGCTGTCACGCAGAGGTCTGCTGTAGTCCCCCAAGCAGCTCAACACTGTTTAGTGAGTTCCTTTTCTACCATTGCTACTGATTATCCTTCACACAGTACTGTCTCTTATTAAGGGACACATGTAAAGATTATAATGAACAAGCCCCAGGATGCTTTGTACGTTTCTTCATGTGGCAGCTGTTACTGCGTGGAGACTCCTTATCATGGCAACTCACTATTAAAATGCTCTCCCTGCAGTAAGAGCTGCCACAAAGAGCAATTTAAAGCAGACTGCATTTGGCAGTTACAGCACACTCACTAACCCGGACATTTCTATTTGTTATGCTTTAACCACGCAAGAGCAATCACCTGTCTACCCATTCTTTTTGTTTTGGACATTTCTGTATTTCACATCAATCAGCACTTATCACCACTGCCATTCAGGATGATAATACTGATGTCTGTCATCATCATCTGGTCAATTTCTGATGTGACCTGTAATATGTAGTGGTTCCGTACTCTACTCTCTGAGGTGTGATTCCCTGGATTGGGCCAAAGAAATGAAGGCACCCAGACACAGCCATCAACAATTTTCTGTGAAAAATATGTCACTGGAGAGAAGAAATTTCCCACTTAAAAGAACACGTATTCCTTTACTGACAGGAGATTTATTTTTGGACAATTGTCAGACAATAGAGGGACTTTCAGAATGAAATTTCTAGGGGCATATATGGTAGCTGCCACTATTTTGCTAAAAACGTATCTCCACTGACAACATCACCTGGGATTTTATTCATGTCCAAGACACATCAGTGGCAGCCCTGGCTGCTGCTCTCACTGCACCAGGCTTGGTTTTTCGGTGTTTTAAAGTGCGTTGTTTTTGAGAGGGAGAGTAAAAAGCTGCTTAACTCCCATGCCCTGTACAACTCTGACAATATGCTCTGCATGCCCAAATGTTTCCCTTGTCTTTCAGGCTGAAATAGAGCATGGGGGATATTTTCAGTCAGAAATTTAACAGGTGCAGCTTTCCCACTTACTACATACACACAATAGATTTCTGCCTTAGGCACAGTACTCCACACTACAGCACCAACTGTAGTATACTGTATGTCCAGGCAGAAATTCTACAGGTAGAGGTTTCTTATTCACTTGTTAATATATACCTAATGAATTTCTGCCTAGTGCATCAAAAGAATGATGCTTTTCAGTGTGTTTTCACTAATGGAGCTGCACCTTCAGCTCTATTAATAGGGCATCTTTAAAATGAATGTTTTATTTATTTAAATATTTATAACCCCAAATTTTCCCCAATGGGGAACCAAAGTGGCTTACAACATCACTCTCCCTTTTCCCATTTGATCCTCACAACAACAACCTTGTAAAGGAGGTTAGGCTGAGAGAGAGACTGGCCCAAAGTCACCCAGTGACCTTCCATAGTAGAGTGGGGAGTTGAACTTGGTTTTCCCAGAACCTAGTCGGACACTCTAACAACTACACTGCACTTAGAAGTCAAACTGTTATTACCACCTTGAACTGAGACCCGGTGTGTCCACAAAGGCTGCCACATGGATGCCATCTTTGGTTGTTGCAATGTAACTGACAAAGTACTAATCAAATGCTGACAGCATCACTATTGGGTTTCTTTTCTTCATGCCATTGTAAATCCAAGGTGGAGTGCATTGACAAATCCATGCCACTATGCACCACAGATCACCAGTCACCACATGGTTTCAGTAGTTGCATTAAGTACTCATAAGTAGCCTCCATTTGGCAGTTGTGACATCTTTGATGACACTAAATATTGTGAGTCAAAGTAGGGGTTTCTAAGCTTGGGGTGTTGTTGTTGAACTAGTTACCTGATTCCTCCTCCAATACAGAAAAATATGCATTAAAAAATCACACATACATCTTCATACACGTTCAAAGCTACTGGAATCAGAAGTTTCTTCTTCATAAAATTATTCTGTTCCTAATTTATGTTGTAACTGAATACAGTGAAGTATATAATTTCCCCACAATCCCTCCTGTGTATTAATTCATTTTATTGATTGAAATCCAGTAAATGTATTTTTACCATGTTTCAAAGCTACAGTCACTTCTAATGATACAGAGTTAAATTCCTAAAAAATTAATAGCAGTATTATATTCGTTCCAGCTCAGTTAGATTCCCCCCAGCTAGGATTCTTCCAATAAAATACTATTACATCCCTGCATAGGTAGCCAGATTCTATTTCCCTTACATCAGGGTTAATGTAATCATCCTAATATAATGTAATGAATCTACAGGGATCCATTAGCATTCACTGAAGGTTTTTGCCACAAATGAATGTTACTCTGCCTTAGGGAGGTTAAACTGTGTCTAACAGTGATGATATTTTGCCAATAGAAAATCATATCCATATTACAGCAAAGGCTTTGTATTAATTGATATCCCAGGTTTTTTCCCCACCTAACATATTACATGGTGAAAAACAGTACTGTGATAAAATTATGCATCTATAAACTGTTTAAGAACATAAGAACATAAGAGATGCCAATGTTGGATCAGGCCAAAGGCCCATCCAGTCCAACACTCTGTATCACAGAGTGGCCAGAAATACCAGTGCCATCAGGAGGTCCACCAGTGGGGCCAGGACATTAGAAGCCATCCCACTGTTGACCCCCCCCCAAGCACCAAGATGACAGAGCAAGATGGACCTCTGCTCCATATGCTTATCTAATTCCCTTTTGAAGCC